CACGAGTTTATTAGGACTTATGTGTACACTGGCGGTGGCCGACCAGTGAAATTTACTGCTGCACCGGCTGCCGCAGATCAAGTTGAATCACTAAGTCTTATCCGGCCTGCAGATGCACTAGGGCAGCGGTTCTCAACCTGTGGGTCGCGACCCTTTGGAGGTCGAATGACCCTTTCACAGGGGTCGCCTAAGACCATCGGAAAACACATATATAATTACATATTGTTTTTGTGATTAATCACTATGCTTTAATTATGTTCAATTTGCAATAATGAAAATACACCCTGCATATCAGATATTTACATTACGATTCATAACAGTAGCAAAATTACAGCTATGAAGTAGCAACAAAAATAATTTTATGGTTGGGGGTCACAACATGAGGAACTATATTGAAGGGTCGCGGCATTAGGAAGGTTGAGAACCACTGCACTAGGGGGTGGCCAGCCAGTGCTATTGTTTTACTGTCACCCAAGACTTTCCCAGCACAAGGTTTTATAGAGTCCTGAAAACAGAAAAACATGCCCTAGCCGGTTTCTCAGTGGTTAGAACATCAGCCTGCGGACTGAAGGGTCACAGGTTTGATTCCTGGTCAAGGGCTCAATCCCTGGCCTGGGTTAGGGTGTGTGTGGGAGGCAATCAATCAATGTGTCTCTCACATTGAGGGTTTTTTTTTTCTCTCTCTCTCTCCTTGCTCTCTTCCTCTCTCTCTAAAAATAAATGGAAAATCCTCGGGCCAGGATAAAAAAAAAAAAGGAAAACAGAAAAAAGGCATGTGAGATCAAAACAGTAGCTGTTTTATTGACTGAGGAGCTGGCTAGGCTCCCAAGGTCTCACAGTCCGCTTACTGGTGGCCTTCACTATATTTCCCACAGGGTGGGAGGGGAGTTGGAGCACGGGAAGGGGCCCATGTTCCCATTTACTATATAAGGTGCCACCCCGGATGAAAGGGTCTGCCTGCCCTCTCCATCCCGCTCCCTGACTGGCTTGGGGTGGGAGTGAGGGGGGTGTTTGGCCAGAGGCCTCGGCTACATAGGCCAGCAGACCCCTCCCCAGCCAGTGAGCCTGGCTCAGGGGTACAAACTGAGTCTTCATGGTATGCGCCCTCTCACTGGGCCTGCTGACCATAAAGGCCGGCGAGGGCACAGAGCAAGGGCTTCTGGATCCCGCTGCCTGAAGTCAAGGCTGCCCCAGGCTGTCCAGTCAGGAGAGTTGGGTTTCCTATTTTGCATAAGTCACTTTGCATGCATTTTCTGTTATTTCCCACCAAAACGTCCTGACTTGTCCACATTTGCTGACCAGGGCAAAAGTCTTCCAGACTTCTTTGGTTTCAGCTGCCAGAGAAGCCCAAAGCCACAAGAAGGAAACGGCACCACAGAGGCCCAGCCCTGGGGCTCCTGGCCACTGTTCCGGTTCCTGCTACCCCACCCGGGGCACCCAAGCAGGGAGGCTCCCCACCTCAGCTCCTTTGGAGTAAAAATACTCCCAGTGCTGGTCATGCTCCACCACTCAGAACCTCCAGGGCCTAAACGACACTCCCAACAGAAATACACAGGAGCTGCCTGTGTAAGTTTGCACTTTCTAATAGCCTCATTAAAAAGGCAAAAAGAAAGATGAATGAGGGCTAACTTACTTTATTTAACTCAGTACAGGCATACCTCATTTTATCTGTACGTTGCTTCATTGTGCTTCGTAGGTGTTTTGTTTTTTAATAAACTGAAGGCATGACTCTCCACCAGCAAAAATGTCAGGACTCACTTTATTGTGATACTTGCTTTATTGCGATACTTGCTCTATTGCAGGGGTCTGAAACCAGACCTGCAAAATCTCCGAAGTACGCATGTATATCCAAAATGTTATCACTTCAACAAACCTTCAATAATCTGGAGGGCACATGACTTGCTCCACACACCCACTGCCACCCTGGAGAGAAGGGGAAGGGGCAGAAACCTCGCAGACACAGCACTCAGCTGGAGTCTCACCATTCAAAAGGGACCGCTTGAACAAGCCTTGACAGGGACTCCAGCTTTGAGAAGACGGAATATTGAAACAAAAAGCAAGCATTTCCAAGACCAACGTGTTGTTCATTGGGAAGCAGTTTCCCTACTGGCCATTAGGATGGATCAGCTGAAGGGCTGCAGAACCTGCTATAGAAGCAGTCATCATCTGAACAGTTTATGAGACTGAAAATAAGCATGTCCAGTGTTATCTCTGGGTGGTGGAATTATGGGTGGGTTTCTATGATCTTTTCAGGTTAATCTGAATGCTGTTAATTTTTCATAATAAAAAATCATTATAATAAAAATTATGTAAGATTTGTTGTTGTTGTTAATTCTCACCTGAGGATATTTTTTTCCATTTATTTTTAGAGAGAGTAGAAGGGAGGAAGGGAGAGGGAGAGAGAGGGACAGGAAGGGAGAGAGAGGAAAAGCGAGAGAGGGAGAGAGAGGGAACCATCAATGTAAGAGAGACACATTGATTGGTTGCCTCCCGCATGCGCCCGGACTGGGGATTAAACCTACACTGCAATCCAGATACCTGCCCTTGACTGGGAATCGATCCTTCGACCTTTCAGTGCGA